CCCCAAAACCCCAAAACCCCAAAACCCCGTTTGTTTGAATCATAACTTATTGGAAGTAAAGATTCATAAATTAAAAATCAATCAGGATTGTAGTTGATATGATAAGAAGATAATCAATCTAGCTCATTGACTTCGCCAGCTATAGCTAGCTATTTCTATTTTTGCTGCTTCTTCTTCTTTTTCTTTTTTTCCCCCTCTTCTTTTAATAATTTTTTCCCAGAACTTTTTTCCAAATCAACCATCAATGGATTATTCTTTTCTCTGTGAGAAATCTTTTTAATATATTTTTGCATAGCTTCTTATAATTATTTCTCCTCTTTCTCTGATTCCCAGCAGATGTAAGCACCCCATAAAGCTATACCATAAGCTACCAATACATAGAACATAATGATATTTAGCATGACCCAAAAATATAGAAGAGGAGCCATTATATTACACTCCTTTGATTAGAAGAAGATTATTTAAGTGTAGAACATCGCTCCCACCATATAAAAGTAGTAGATTCCAAGAATTCTGCCCAGCTTTTTGAGTATGAAACCAAGTCCAATGAAGTGAAATAATAAAAGTAAGAAAGAAGTGAAATGAATAGAGAAAGCCATCCAGAGCCCGAGTCTCAATCTCTCACAATCAGGGGTGTCTGATATTAGAATAAGCATGGTGATAGTAGCAAAGACTATCGAGAAAACTAAGACAACACGTCTGAATTTCATGGTGCCATCAGCTGTATTCAACATTGCTAATTGATATTAATAATAAATTATAAAGAATTAAATTGGAAAATATTTAAAGTCATCTCAATATTAATGAAAAAATTTAAAAGAGTTTAATTCTTAACACTCTTCTGGTGGTATTTTGCCTACAGCCAATACAGTTACCTAAATAAAACCTACAGAACCACTAATTGCTACGATTGCATGAATAACTTTACAAATAGCGTCTACTGTTCTAACCAGGTTTCATAATAAAATTCATTTTGCTGTCCATAAGCATCTACTGGGAGGAATATTTCTTGCTATTCAATTCCTTAATTAAACTAGTTCTGCTCTGATCAGTATTTACAGTATCCAAATTATAAGTACCTCAAATATTAATCGTGTGTAGACCCAAAACACATTTGTGGAGAAAGAAATATCAATATAAGTGCCAGTTTAGCGTTAAATGGACTCACAAGGGAAGTAAAGTTAGAACCAGATACAAAGAATTGCTTTTGGATTTTGAGTTACCAATCTGATGAGAATGAAGAATATATATTTGATGAACTTAGGGAATCATCTCCAGTTAGAATCAACATTCTCAATATTAGTGGAGCAACTGTTTATATCTTTAAAGAAGAGGAGGAACTTTTGAGTGCTATAAAATAGAATATTACAGACAATGATGATCCTTTGCTCGATATTGAATGGCAAGAGTTCAGCAAAGGAGAAAAATATTATGTCATAGCAATAAAAGACTCTAATGCAAAGCATGGAGATTTTGCTGTTTCATTTTCTATTGAACTAGTAGAATTAGAAGAGTTCAAGTGGGTTGTGAGAGAAGATGAAGCATATCTATATATTGCAACTTTCATCCTTATAGGACTCTCAATATTTGCTATGATTGTCTCTGCACGCTCTAGAAGAATAAGGCTCAGAAAAGCGAGTACAATTCTCTAGACTAAAAAGGTCAAAATCCCTAAGAAAAGACAGAGGAAGAGAAAATCAAATTTCTTTAATCCATTTCTTAATATTAATGGAATGAATCCCAATAATTAAGACCCGTAGCCCAATAATATCAAACTTGATGAAAATACTTTTAACTAAAGTGAACTCAAAGAGTTATTAGCTAAGGGCGATAAGTCAATATTTATGGGAGATTAATCAATGAGGGCTCATGTCTCATTGATTTAAAAAATAGAGGATAGCTTTTTCTCATCAGAAAGTCAAAGTGACTATTCAGAGGATGCTCAGGAGGATAATAATGATAAGGAACTAAATAATACTAGACTAATTTAAGGTAATGAGAATCTCACAAAAAAATAGATCAAGAGGAATGATTCTGGACAAAATTCTGGTATAGGCTAGTAATCTGGAAGGTAATAAGTGAGGAGGATGCAGTCAAATAAGTTCAAATAAAACAATAATAATTAATAGAGGAATTACTTAGATAATACAGCAGATCTTACAGCAAATGATATATAGTGGAATGAATCATCTCATGGGTTGAGTAATGATCCAATGAGTTAATCTTAAGGGTCACCTCCATACAAAAAAGGATAATTAATTGATGTAGATAGTTCACTTAAATTAAAAAAGCATCAAAATATGACTTACAAAGACCTTTATCGATCTCAAAGAAATCAACTAGTTCAAGCTTAGAGCGAGAGACGAAAACATAATCATATATAATAAAATAATCATCGAGGAAGTCTTCCAAACTAATTAATAGGTAAAGGAGGAGGATCGATTTTCAAACAAAAAGCTCCTTCTAGAGATAGAAACAGCAATCATAGTCTGAGTAATCTTTCATACAAGACATAGGGCAATAGAAACTATAATCCCAATCATTCTGTTATGATTAAAAAGAAAAAACCCACTCCTCTCAACTTCGTTAATAACAATATAAGTAACAATGGTGAAAGAAATGTACAAACTTCTAGATCAAGAAGAAAATCACCAAAGAGAAGGGCACCTAAATCTTTAAAAGAGAGATCATCAGAAATAGACGACAAATCATTCACTAGAAATTTAGCACCTAATACGCCCTAAAACCATACTCAAGGAATATCACCTGTTAGTGCATATAATGAGAAATCTAATAAACGAATGATGTTTACTGATAGTTAAGGAAGGTCAAAGTCTTAATAGATAAGAGCTGAAAGTGAGGGCAATCAAAAGTAAATTAGTGAAGAGATGTAAATAGAGGAATTTAAAGACTCATAATATGGAATTGCTGAGAGTTCCAAAAATGGAAGGAATCATTTGCACCCATCTACTGGCAATCTATCATCATAAGCAAAAACTTAATAAAAAACAGTGCAAAAAAGAGTTACTGGTGCCAACAGCAATCAAGGAACTCCCTCTCGTTAAAAAGATGAACTTATCGATATAGACTTATAACAATAAAGGAAACATTTCCATGGTAAGAGATAATCTGATACTATTTCTAATAATTTGAGTCCTCATCCAAACTCGAGAAGACTAAGATGAAATCCACTTTATTAACTATTTTATCTCTAATTTAAATCTAATTAGCAAATTAAAATTCAATTTAAATTGTTTTCATGGGGTTTTGGGGTTTTGGGGGGCTGGGAAGGAGATA